CTTTTTCTTTTTTTTTCTTTCTTCTTCTTTTTTTTATTTTTTTTTTTACCACTTTCTCGTCTCTACTTATGCACGGACTAACACTGCGGTTTTAGGCATATGGAAGATGGCTGTGCGCGACGATTCGACGTGGGAACTCTGGATATTCGCGCATCGGATACGTACGGTGGCCTCGGAACAGCCCACCGTCCATTGGGAGTGGAAGCGACAAGCCAGGCGATGTCGCCAATGCCCCACCTGAGTACGCTGTCACGGATGGCGACCCCGACGGGGCACTATGAGACGACAATGGTGAGAACAAGGAGTCTCGAGGGCTCTGGAGAGGGGAGTGGTACCCAGCATCACAGTCAAGGGTACGTTGCAGCTCAGGGACAAGATGTATTCCACGCGCAGGTTCAGGGACAGAGCCACGGTCTAGGTTATACCCGAGGTCCGGGTTGAGAGCGAGAGTCTGGGTGGGCATGTCTGTGACGCTGGAGGGCAAGCGACATGGGGGGCGGTGGTGGTACAGGAGTCAATGCATAGCGATGGGCCAATTTTAGAGACGGCATCTGGGCGATCTGTGCATTTATTACATTTATTATTCATTTGGTACCTAGCATAGCGTGGAAATATACAGAGAATAGTGTTTTTGCTACCGTTTTTGTTAGGTACCGTGAACAGAACTTCTTTTCGCATTAATCGAAGAATATTAGTCGATAGTAGGTCTCGATTCCCGCTTTATTCGCAATAAGCCATGTACCTGTACGTCACGCACGTGGTCTATTTTAGAAACATTTAGCTGATCTTTACTCGAGGCAGAGGCTAACTTGTATCTGCCAAGGACCGATAGAGAGAAGGCCTAGGGAAGAAGCAGGGGTAGGTTGGGGTATAAGAGGACTCGTACTGCGACTGCGTAGGAGACTATATATAAACTGATGTTAAACTCGGTGGCTGAGCTAAGGGTAGGTATAGGGCTAGTAGGGCGACTTATTAAGCTAAGGATAGGTATAGGGTAAATTCTGATTAGCTCGGGTAACGGGGAAACGTTTCCCTAATAGCTATAAGTCGCGTTATAATATATTAACGTGTTTTTCCCCTCTTTTTCGTAGCCTACACGTCTTCGTGACCTTTTCCTATTATCACCACTCTGTATCTTTATATATAGTGTTTTTATAGTATTATAATATCTATTCTTTAATAGTTTTTCTATTAACTCTATCACTTTTTTCAGTTTATCTATTATAATTAGGTATATTTTCTTACTTAAACTAGGTTTCTAAACGAAATTCGTTAGAAATAATTAGGAAATAATTAGGAAATAATTAGGAAATAATTTCGATTTAAACGCTAACCACCCTTACTTCCTTTAATAACCACGTCTATTACCTTTAGTAAGATACCCTCGAACTATAGACGCACGGCTATATACTAATAGTATATAGCTAGAGAGGAAAATAGCTAACGCTATAATAGTCTTCCTGAGTTTAAGACTAATAGTGTAAGTATATATAGTATTCTAATACCTTATCCTATACTAATATCCTCTTAAGATAGGTAAGGTTATTATAGTAGCGGGAGAGCTATTTTACCGATACCTAAAGGAAAATAAAGAGCTCTATTTTAATATAAGTCGCTTATTATTTATAAGATAGCTTAAAAGCTTTAGCTAATAGTATCTATTTAGCGCTCTAAATTCTCGTTATTAGGTGCCCTTAAGAAATATATTCACTATACCCACTATACTTAAGCTACTCCTTCCGCGTCGGGCTCTTTTAACGCTCGTGATAATTCTCGTACCGCTTAATATTATAAGGCTATACAGAAACTCGCCCTTAGTATTAATAAATAGCTTAATACCCCTTATAAGACTAAAGTAATAGCTAAGGATATATATCTTAGGGTCGTCCTAAAAGACGATAATAGAAATATAGGAAACGATTCCGAAACGATTCAGAGACTATTATTAATATATCTAAAATCTTAGCCCGATATCGTTCGTATAAAAATAGACGTTTTTAGCTAGCAGAACGATAAATATTATTAGGCTTATATAGACTAGAACTCTATCGACCGTAGTATATTATTTTTCCTTACCCTGATACTATACTTAATTAATAGGATATATTCTTTAGACTACCCTCCTTTTAACTACGACCACTTTTATAAGGCCTAGGCTAAATATCGCTATAAAGATATAGCGGATAGGGAAATAGTATCTAGTAAGTTAGTAACTCCTATATAAATTAGACGTCTTTAGCTAATAATTCTTATATTAGAATTCCCGGCTCCTGCCCGCCCCCCCCCTTATAACTATCGGGTTAATAGAGTCCGTCCTTCTACTCCTAATAACGAGGAGTAACTAAATATCCTGGAAATATTTAGGAAACGTTTCTAAGCTACCGAGCTTTTATTTTTATAGCGATAGTAATAATAATTTAGTATATATAGAGGAGTTTTTTACTTATAATAGGTCTTTTTTTATACCACGTTCTTATAAGAATATAAACCACGATTATAATACCTAAAGAATTCCCTTCTATCTACCTCTAACTATCAGAATAAAGTAATAATTCCCTCTCTAGCTTAATATGCCTTAATTCTAGCTAGAAACGCCACTTATCTTTAAGCCTTTACCTCTTAATTTACGCTTCTAATTCACGATCTTTTTATTTTATTTCGCGACGGCGTTCCTCTATAGTAAGATTCCTCTCTTTATAGGATAAGGAAGCTTATAAAGCCTAAACCTGCCTAAGGGTAGCCTGCTAGTAAAGATTACGTGTATTTTAGCGTTAACTTCGAGAGCATCTTAGAGGAACTCTACTTAACGATATACTCCTTACGTTTCTTACTAAGGAACTTCGCGAATCTAATTCTATACTATTATTATTAAAGCCCCTAAAATCGTTAGGAGGGTTAAGAGATAATCTCGAAATTAATCGGCTAGTAGTTAAAGGATAATTACGTGAGCGATTACGAATAGCCTTATTACGGTCGGTATCTACCTAAAGAAATTTTCTTTCTATAATATTCTTAGGTTAAGGACTTTTCCCTTATATAGTAGAAAAGAATAGAACTTACTATTCCGATTTATTTAACTCTTAAGCCGACCGCTAATACTAGTGTTTCTCCACGAGCCGGGGACTTATAGTAAACGCGTCGTAAAATCTCTTAAGATAAGATTCTAGTCGTAATCGCGATATCTAGTAAGGTTAGAAGGTAAGTACGCGAGAGATTATATTAAACTCACCCCTTAATAACCTTAAGGATATAAATATTTCGCTTAGTCCACGCGTATAAGGCTTAATATATAACCTTAACCGTATTCGAATTATCGAAAATACGTCCTTAGTCCTTATACGGGATATTCGAGGTAGCTTAATAAAAGCCTATCGCGATATATAGGAGGCGCTTATAAATAGCCTAGTCTCGGAACTATGGTATTATCCCTAGAAGATATATAAGTATCCTAAATAGTTTCCGAATCGTTTTCGAAACGTTTCTTAGTCGTTTCTGGATTATTAAAAGATAGAACTCACGGCTAATCGCGTTATATAACTTATTATAGTCCTCCCGTATCCGGTATTCTAGTAGAGTTATTATAATCCGGTAAGTAAAGCCTTCTCCTCTTACTAGATTACCGCCTAGAATACTCTTAATACCACGCCTAAAATAAACTATATAGAGACGTAGACTCTAAAAGACTTATATTTCCTAGGATTTATTTAGTCGGTATTTTTACTAGAGGTATCTACTAAACCCCTAGATTACTAGTAAAGCCTAATCTAAGGTTACCCTAAGAAGTCTAGTTCCGTGAAGGTATTTCCACTTCACGTATATATTATACTTATCCTTAAGGATCTTAAAAACCTAGTGGAATATATAAAGATATATCTCTGCTATCTCGGAGTTAGTATAGTATCTAGCTAAAGAAAGTACTAGAAGGTGTTAAAAACGGTTTAGAAACGATTCCGAAACGATTTAGTAATAATTCGGGGACTAACCTCTTTCTAAGTTTTAACTATACTAGGCCTAAATAGTTTCCTTTTACTCTATACTATTAATGAGTTTATAGTTAGTATTAATAAAAAAAGACTTTATATCGGAAAAAGTCTATTATTTTACCTACTTATAAAAAAAACAGATTACTATATAATTACGCTCGGATTAGTATAAGTGCTGGATATACTAGAATATAGTATATAAATTAGTATATATATATCTTAGGATAATAGCGGAATCTTACGTATAACCGTTAATTAGCCTCTTTAGTCTGCTCTAAAGCTAAAGTAAGACTCCGACCGCCTTAAGGGAAAAGAATAATCTATTATTTATAAATAATATATCGAAGGTAGTCAGTATTCGTAAGACTTATATAAATATCTATAATTATTTTCCCTCTATACTCGGTAATAAACTCTTTTAGTTTATTTAACTTAAGGAATATATTTAATTTAATTATCGGATTCTTAATTTTCGCGAGGACTCGAGTAATTCTATTAATAATAGACGGGGGAGCCTTTAATGGAGGTAGGGGAGGATAGGTGTATATTCTATAGGAGGTTGTAATAATCTATAGTATTATATTAAAATCGAATAGAATAAAAAATCTAAACTAAATATTATATTATTGTATTTGGATTTCGCTAGGGCCCACGATATACACTTCGTCTATTTAGAAATATTAGGATACGTCTTTAGAATCGTTTCCGAAACGTTTCTAAGTCGCTTCTGAATATTTCTGAATATTTCTAAATATTTCCGAATCGTTTCCGAAACGTTTCCAGGCTAATATACTATATATCCGGCGTTTTCTACGATTCGATACGAAAAAATAGTATATCTTATCGGGATTTATAAGAATACCGTGTAAAGTAGGATTAAGAGTCTATCGAATAAGATCAAGGTAAGGGTAAAAAATCAAGGGAATAATAATAACTAGATAATAACGCGTTATATCCGCTAGGGTCTAAGACTAACACCGTACACGATATTATTAGAAATCCATAAGATACTTTAATTAATTAGAAATACCTTAAAATAATCTTAGGTCTTATAGGTAATACTAATATAGTAGCCCCTAGAATCTATTATAGGCGTATAAGTTTCCTCTGGCTTAAAACACGCAGACTTTTTACTAAATCTTACTTATATTACCTACGTCTATCTAAGACTCAATTAGTTCTACTTTAAAAGGTATTCTAATACGCTTTCTAACTTACCTAATAGCCTTTTTCTATAAAGTAGGGTCTTTTATTTACGCTTTTCGTTAACTAATCTAATTAAGTAGCTAACTAAAGACGCGATTATAATAAAAGTCTATAGTAGGAAGATATTAATAAGCTTTCCCCCCTTAATAGGTATATATATATCGCTATACCAGCGCGTCTCTAAGTATAGTACTTATAGCTCGTAAGGCAGGATATTTTCAAGCTATTTCGTACTCAATTTAGAGTAGAGTATATTAGTACTAGTAATAAATAACGCGATAAAAGATATTATCTATTACTTTCTATAGAGTATTTTTCTCTTCGTTACTTAAAATATCTAATAGGATAATAATCGCTATACCTCTAACGCAGCTTTTAGGTATCTTAGGAATCCTAGCTATATATAGAATTTTTTATACGTCTATAGCTCGAGTACCCGGGGTAAGTCTTCTATTAGTATACGCGGTTATAGAAATAAGAATAAGGTCGCTT